CGGAAACCGGATGCCGCCAACTACATATATATATATATATATATATATATATATATATATATATATATATATATAAACAATCTATGAATAGACATAGAGCCACCAGAAACCATGGAACACAAAAGAAGGTACAGAAATTGTAAAAAAAACACAACACAACACATTAAAGTCCATGTTTTTTTCAGAGTGCGAGATACTACCCGGTTGCCCAAGCCGAAATAGGGTGTTGGCTTAGGGGACACCACCTCGAGCCTTTGGCTGAATAGCCTGCCTGTAAGCCAGCGGAGCGAATTCAGGGAATCGCGCCCGTTGGGAGCCGGTGACGGATTGCTCAGTTCATACGCCTTTCGTTTGTTCCTTTGTCAAACAGGGGCCCAATGCTCCCCAGAATTACAGCACAAAGTTGCTGGAATACAATGCTTCGCCAGGATGAAGCAAGGGGCAGTGACTTTATTTAGTGGCGAGTCACGTCCGCCACGTCACAGTGTTGTGAAACGGACATTTGTGGCTTTTCATAGGGAGAACGCTTGCCAGCCGAAAACCCACCACGTCCTGGAACACTGCCGCCGAACTATTTGCTGGAACGGAAAAATCCCGAACCACTCAGCTGGCACCACGAGGAAGTTGTTCGGCAAGCCAGTCCAGTGCAAAATAATAGCACCCTGGGCTGAGGTAGTTCATCGAGCAATATTGGTGTAGGTGTCACCTCACCTCTCACACACTATAGGGCGCCTAAGCGATATTGAATCACCACTGATCGGGTTCCATAGCACTTCACATTCCTCCATCCCTGTCCCCGTCTCGTCCCAATCAATTTTTTCACCCCAACTCCCGAACGAGACAAATCCACCCATATTTCTGCCATCGACATCAATAGCCAAAGGTGGCCGCAGGCCAGCACGCCAAACACTCAAGCATGGATGCTGGAATGTGCGCACACTGCACGATCGGGACACCAACCATTGACGAACCGCATGAGTCACCAGGGAGTTTGCGCGGTATGATATTGATGTGGCAGCACTGAGTGAGACCCGACTGGCTGATCAAGGTAAATTGCGAGAGGATGGTGTTGGGTACACTTTCTACTGGATTGAAAATCTCGACGAAGCACCACGTGAACAAGGCGTCGTATTTGCAATTACTGACCGCCTGAATGACCGCTTGACGGGGGAGCCGATTGGTATCAGCCCATGGTTGATGTCGCTTCGTGTATGCCTCGGACGTAGTAAGTTCGCAACATTTATTAGCACGTATGGTCCCACCATGAGTTATCCGGATGACATCAAAGACCAGTTCTACTCACAATTCGCCTCTGTTATAAGGTCTGTGCCAATGAGTCACCGAATATTCTTGCAAGGTGAATTCAATGCATGTGTAGGGCGTGATGCCACAGTGTGGGTTAAGGTGATTAGGCCGCACGGGATTGGGGCAGTCAGTGGAAACGGAGAGCTTTTGCTTTCATTGTGCCACACATGGCTTGACGATCAAGAACACTCAGTTCGCTCTGTATGCTAGTGACATTGCTACATGGACCCACCCACGGAGTGGTCGTGCTCACTTGCAGGACTACATCATCATACGTCAACGGGACATGCGTGAAGTGCGCATAACGCGGGTAATGCGTGGAGCTGAACGTGGGACTGATCATAAGCTCGTGTGCAAAAAGTGCTACGTAAATGACTACAAATCGTCGTACTTTCCATCGAGTACCAATCGGAGAAAATATAACGTAGGCGCCGTTTCGAGTGCAGAAAAGAGACAAACACTGGAGGATGCCATAAGAATCTGCCTCGGCGAAGACGACTCCTAGGCTTCTGTCCGCGTCCTATGGGACGACTTGAATAAATAGGTGACCATTGATACGGTGGAGACGATTGGGTGTACAAACTGTAAGCGGCCCGACTGCTTCGACGAAAACAGTATGACGATTGGGCCATTAGTACGAGCGAAAAACGCAGCGTTCATCGCATCCAAGGTTGACCTTAACAACGCGATGAAGAGTAATAATTTTCGCCACATTCGAAGGTAGCTAGCCGGAGAGCTGCGTCAGCTGCAAAATGCGTGGTGGACAATGAAAGCTAAGCAGACGGTCCTACGCTGGACACCGTCAACCAAAAGATTTCTACGACACACTGAAGGCAGTGTATGGGCCCACCGTGCAGCAAATGAAGACCCTGAAAGACTCTGAGACTGGCGCCGTATACACATAATTTGATGACATTTTGCAAATGTGGCACAGACACTTTGACACCCACTTGAACAATCGATCCGAGGTTAACTGGGACACACTGCACGGGCTGCAACACCACAGCGTACTATCCGAACTTGAGGACACACCAGGAATGTACAAAACACAGAGCGCTTTCCCAACTACGGAACGGGAAATGCGCTGGTGCTGATGGCATACTTCCAGAAATACTGAAGAACGGAGGATCAGTTGTGATGCGCGCACTCCATCGTTTGGTGGAAGCCGTCTGGATGGATGAGCAAGTACCTGCAGAGTTGAAGGATGCTCTTGTGCATCCACTGTACAAGGGAAAGGGTAGTAAGCAATACACCAACAATTATCGTGGCATCAACTAACTTAGCTGTGTCGGCAAGATGTTTTTGCGCATCCCAATCACTCGCCTTGGAACGCATATACTGGAACAGAAGGTAGCCGAGGAGCAATGTGGATTCCGCTCGGGCCGAAACACTATCGATATGGTGTTTGCAGAACGTCAACTACAGGGAAAATGTCGTGAATGCAATCAACCGTTGTATTCACTCTTTGTCGATTTCACCAAAGCGTTCGATACGATGAACCGTGACGCCTTGTGGCAGATTCTCTCAAAGTTTGGATGCCCTACAAAGTTTATTCGTCTGATTGAAGCCCTGCATACTGGCATGCGAGCATGGGAGCAGCTGAGTGAACAGACTTCAGATGACTTTGCCGTTATCTCCGATGGAAAGCAAGGATGCGCCTTAGCCCCCACACAGTTCAATATCTATGTGACTGCTGTGATGTCGTGCGCATTCAAAACGTGTGAATACAGTGTGCATCTGGTGCAATGCATGGATGGGGGTTGGCTTAACATCCGCCGTTTTGGAGCAAGAAGCCTAGTGCGTGAGACAACAATGCGTATGCTGCCGTTTGCTGACGACTGTGAGTTGTTTGCACATACCGAGGAAGAACTGCGAGGCACGACGACTGTATTAGCTTCCACGGCGACCAAGTTTGGACTCAGCATAAACACAGGCAAGACCGTATGCCTACTTCAGCCGGCACCGGGAGAGGAGCCCATGTTTAGGCCAGAAATACGGGTTACAGATGAAGTACTACAAAACACGTCATCATTCTGCTACTTCGGGAGCAAATTGTCAACTGACCTGCGGATCACCGACGAATCGCGCGCTCGTGTAGCGAAGGCGAGTGCGGCTTTTGAAAAACTGGAACATCGCGTGTGGAAGAATCATCATCTCACTGTTAGAACCAAGGTGATGGTGTACAAATACATGGTTCTCTCAGTCCTTATCTATGGATCGGAAAAGTGGACATTACAGAAAGGATATCCGGTTTCTGGAACGATTCCATCAACAATGTCTTCACCGGATTCTGCACATCCACTGGTGGGACAATGTGCCGGACACGGATGTGATCCGCCAAAGCGAAGTGTACAGCAGGGACTGCATGCAACTGCTGCAACACTTCCGGTGACTTGGACATGTGTGCCGTATGGATGCAATGTGAATCCCGAAGCAACTGCTGTATGGGCAACTGAGTTCAGGTGGCCGGAATACACGCAAACCAAAGTTCCGCTACCAAGACAATATCAAGGTTAGTTTGTTCCGAGTAAGTATTGACTTAAGGGGTTGGGAGGAGATGGCAAAGAAATGGCCGCACCTGGCGTGATCTCATCAAGTGTGCCGTTGCCCAAGCTCAAGAAAGACAGCTGGTGCATCGGAAATGTGCAGGACGCAAACATCAGCTGTCGGCGGACTAGAATTCTTCGGCTACTCCCACATGGATATGTGGTGCATGCGACCGTGTATGCCTTAGCCCAGCCGGTCTAGCCAGTCACCAACAAAGCCACGTTGGGCTATGCCGAACAGGCAGTTAGATGCTGCTTGAGCTCACCGGTGTGGCTGCGCCTGATGTAAATATTGACAAGGTGCCTACTTTTCTATTACTCATCGACTAGTCCACGCTGGATCCAGGAGACAGTTGGGCGTTGCTGGAGGGGACGGAGTGCACTATCCTTGTAACGATGCGAGGTCCAAAAAGTACTTCCATCCTGTGTGGAACGGGCTACGGCCCAGCCACCGCCTTGTGTACGTCTGGTGCGCATGATTTCCCAATTAGGTCGGAATGCTTCCGTTCTGCTTGTGGGCCGGCTCCGTTGATGAAAAGTGGCTCCCATCCACATGTCTCCAAGTCTTGTTTCTTCGGGTTTACACTAGATATGGGGGGTGTGGTTGGAGCTGTGGGTGGTGCAACGCAAGCCACCCATGGTCCCTATGTAGGCGCACGCGTTCCGTGGCTGTCTCCGTGGAGGCCACAGTGACTGGCAAATCCGGATACGGATATATATATACACTTCCATTAGAATGAAGTATATATATATATATATATATATATATATATATATATATATATATATATATATATATATATATATATATATATATATATATATATATATATATATATATATATATATATATATACTCCATTCTAATGGAAGTGTAGGCGAACAGGGAAAAGGATGAAAGTACTTGACTGACAATCCACCTGGTCAACGGGAATAGTTTCCTATTAAAAGACACATAATATATACGTGATGGTGGGTATCGCATCAACCTCAATAAGCAATACTAGAGACACGAACATTGTGAAAAGTTTCAAATATTGGGACATATGTGAACGGCCAATAATCGCTTGCCACGTTTGAAACAATCTCAGCAGTACAGAGATGTTTCAGCAAGAAAAGTGGGGTTGTTCATAAAAGTGAAAGACTAACCTCAGGATGCGCCTCAATAATCACGTGAGAAGAAGGTCGATGTGCTTGTATCTCCTCATCTACAATACCCATTCCAAAGCCAACATTTAACACACGAATCGTGTTCGACAGAGCACCTGTCCCGTGAGAATCAGCATGACAAATCCAGGCAGCGTGTCTCTTCATCAGCGGTAGTTCCCAGTCCATCATTACAGCCAGATTAGTACTGGTATCAACCAAATTGTGACCATTTTCTGTGTACTGCAGCCGACTGGATAAATAGGAAGCGTTAAGGGATTCGGAAGGGACATGCTTCACCCCGGTGTTCGCAAACACAGGTGATTCCAGTGGACACCCGAAAAATATGTCGTCTGTGTCCTCAGATTCCTCTTTTTGCATGGCTAAAGATAGTAACAGTTCCGAAGTGACTGCGTGGCCCATCAGGGCGTCAATGCATTCCTGTTGTCCGTGTTTGGCGGCATAGTCACCTGCGCACATGTACGTACGGTCCACGGCATTCCACGGAGCACCCTCGTTAAGCAAATATCGAACAATTTGAGTGTGACCAGCGCTGGCGGCAACCATCAGAACACTGATCCCGGTTTCAGGATCCTAGACACGAGGGTTTGGGGAAGAGGAAATAAAGAGCTGAACGAAAGAACGGGTGAGTTTCATGATAAAGGGTTAGCGAAACAATGAGCAGTTTGGAAAATCAACCAGACGGTGTGTTCATTTGCCTAAGTATCGGCAACAGACCCGCAGAAACGTTTACTAAGGGAGTACAATATCGGTGCCACCGGTGTTATGTGGAATAAACGTCTGAGCCCACAGAACCTAATCAAACGCCTCAGTTAAGAAGAACATCTACTCTGTGTGCCAGAAGGCACGCGATGTCGATGAACATAAAATGACCGCGAATTTACCAAGTTCCAGCGTTCAAGAGAGATATAGGTAGCGCGTATATTCAGCTGAAATGTTTGAATGGCACACATAATGCAAACCACCAAAAAGGCAATCAGCTAACTCGCTCAGAATCAGTTAGGAACCGTGGCAATGAACGACTGTTACTAATGGAACCAGATAAGTAAATTTTAACAGAAAGAGCGGCGGTGTGAGTCACAACTGATCTCATTTCACGAGCGCTTCCGGATGCCAGTTGGCCTACCCACGTTCCCGCTGATGCTCCTCTTACTGCATAGGGTCAAGGTGACTCTCGCAGTACCCTTAGACCACGTGCGACTGGTGGTGGTTGCGCGGCAGCGAAACGTCGGTACGGCGTACCGGCGTAGTGCTGATGCCAGTTCCAAAACGGACACTTTTCTGCAGTTTAGATCGGTCAAATTGGACACAAACATTCGGGAGTCGCTAAGGATAAAATGAAGAAACAACATCGACTGAAAGACGTAACATGACTTTGGTTAGGCCTGGCTAAGGGTCCAAATGATTGAAAAAGCATCATCATCATCATCAACAGCAGTACATCAGCCATTTGAACTGATGCTTCGCTGCCATACAATCATGATTGAAAAAGCAGACCACAGTCTCGAATCCTTGGAAGAAACTTGGAACCGATCGAGAAATCATGAGTTCAGAGAGGTTTGGAAACAATCGGTTGGTATAGTAGTTTGGTAACATTTCGCCCTTGACACAAGGGCTACGTCAGACCAGGTGAATCCGTGTGCAATTGGAGTGGGATTTTATAGCGAACAGGGGCGATAACCGCGTTACCCGAGATTTGAGCCAAGGTGTCATTACGGTAACAGTTCGTGATGTCACTTCAGGTGGTTCAATCACAGTGGGAATAGTCCACAGTCTACTGATTGATCTGCCACAAAAATATCTACGTGAATGAGGTATCAGTGCTGGTCTCCGGTGCGCGTGCAATCTACAATCTTCCAATAGGCGGTCGGTTTGTGAGAAGGCACTCGGGTTGGAGTCGCTAAGATTCTTCAGTGGTGATGCGGATCGATAGCGAAGTTTCGCAAAATGTCATCATGATTCCCCAAGCTTTGTCATGTGATTAAACAGCGACTCAAACTTTAGTAATATCGACGCTAAACGTGGGCACCCTGAAGTATTGTGTCCGGAAAACGCGCTACCAAGTGGAAATTTGTAGACATGTACACCTCTAGTTCGTAAGAAGAAATGGGACAACTGTTACTGACATACTAAAGCCAAATCAGCTTTAGGGTTGCAAAAGTGAACCATTCTCTACGGACAACATGCTGATAAGTTCAGTCTGAAAAGACCATTTGGGGTCATGATGATAAAAAGTCAAGGCAAACTATGTACCGTTTCAGAAATAATCTCTTCTCTAAAATCAAAGTTCCAGTTGGTGAGGCCGATATGCTCAACGTGACGGAGGGTTGGGAATGCCCATCACAACAAAGTCACCAATAGAAAGCACCGTGGGAACAATAAGACGTAACTCGGGTACGCAATTTACATCACTTAATTAATGAAGTCCTCTCAGTTCAAGTGTTAGAAGGAAATTGAAGGTCCCGTAATTCATGCGTGGAAGTTGGCGGAAAAACGGTTACCTTGGAGTGTGATACCAAACCAAAGATAAGACACTCTTCAAGATGAATCAAGTACAAGTGCTGTTAACGCTGGTGTTAGCTCACGGTAAACCACTTCGCATATGTCGCCAACGGCAGGCGTAAATGTAGGTGGAAGTGAGTATGGGTGGTGATCAGTTTAATTCAATTGTGCAACTATGATCCGGGCACGGAAGTGCGGTGGATGCAGTTGCTATGACTCGCAACTGCGAGAAAATGAGGTTGAATGCAAATAGAATACAGAGAAAAGCGGTGTAAAACATGCGTAAAACTGATTGGGACAAAATATCAACAGCCGGATGCAAGAAGAACGCCACTGACTGCACGACTGTGTCATGTCTCCAACCACAGCTGTGGAGCCTCCAGAGGCCCGACAGTCTCTCAACAAATTTCTGCAGATCCTCATATGAAGTCCCCGACTAGCCATCTCGCGATTTCGCCAAACTTGGTGCAACGACGGCGGATAATGCACGCTGAAAGAGTCGCTCATAGGGCATACACAGAGAACATGACCTAACAAACGTAGGCGGTTCAAGATCAGCGGACACTCTAAGGAGGCACCAGGAGGCTTCTTGCCAAAAACCAACTGGCTGAACTCAATATCGTTCTCCCGGTGTTCACACCAAATGTGAGCAATACTCTGCAACTACGGTAATCAAGAAGTGTCAATCGTTTAGTATTCCGCGTGAAGGGCCAAGTTTCTGATTCATAAAGCAACATTTGCCTTATGGCGGGGTAACAAATCACCTTTCATGGACATCACGATTATCATGGACATACACGTTCGCCAAATAACGGAAACATCTCGGATTTTGTGTGGCAATATAAACCAATTAAATGGTGGTAAAAATGGCAAGTAAAGACTACAACAAAACGAGTAAATTACATTATGCGACTAAACTGAGACCGTGCTTGGAGAGGGACAAACAAAGGAACCATCGACACAAACGACGCTGAGGTAGGTTCTTCGTCTTACCAATATGCGCGTTCCTTGTCTCTCGGACCATTACCAACAAATCGAGAGGATCCAGAAGTGGAAAGTTCGAAGTGAAGGTCGTCATTCCTCTTGACCAAGTAATCGCTTGCCATTTAGGGGACGCAGACCTTAACGAGAACGGTCGGATGCAGCTTCCAGCTATTCGACACGAAGACGATTCGCTTGCCTCCTGATCGTGACCTTGGTTCAACCAACGACAGTTTTTCACAGTAGCCAGGGCTCCCTTTGGAATTCGGCCGGAATCCGCATTGAACAGCCGAACAACTAGTTCGTGCATTATCCGTCCCCTTGATAAGCTTCTCCTCCAACGCTCAGTTACTCCACAGCTGTATGGGCTACCGAAAACACACAAGAGTGGTGTGCCGCTCCGGCAAATGTTTTCGATGGCAGATGCGCCCCAGCATAAACTAGCTCCTTGGCTGGTGAAAGTTCTTTCTCCACTGACAGTCGGACAACCAGTACAGTCTAAGAATCATTTCAACTCATTGACGACCGCGATGCCATCTACTTGTCAGACAAGATTATGTGTTCCCTGGATATGGAATCTCGCTTCGCTAACGTCCCTTTACATGACTGGATTATGTGTGCGAACTAGCTGAATACTCTGGCCGTTCCATGCCGAATACGGCCGAATTACAAAGGGATCCCCTGCTACTGTGCACAGAGAATGCAGGTTGCCTTTTTTCAGAACACGCCAAACCACCAAGTCGATGGAATAGCAATCGACAGCCCATTGGGCCCTTTACTGTCTTCTATATGCGCATGGTCGAAAAATGTCCACAGATATTGACCAGCTGCCATATTACAGGCGCTATGTTGATGACATTTTGGCTTTATATCCATCTGAGCTGCACATGGCCCGGCTGGTTGAGCGCTACAACAGTGCACAACATAACAATTGTGCGTCACCTGTGAGCTAGAACGAGAAAATTGTTTGCCATTCTTGGATCTAATCAGTCGCAGAGATAACGGACAGGTTAGGAGATCCATCTAGCGAAAGGCAGCATGGTCCCGTCAGTACCTGTATTTCACAAGCTTTACACCAATGCGATACAAGCGGACACTTGTGAAGATGTTATTTAGTCGTACCAGACGACTGTGCTCGGCAGACTGTCTAACTAATGAGTTGGAGCGAATTACAGTCACAATGATGTCAAACGGTTGCCCTCGAAGGTTTAGAAAGAAGTGCAGCTAGCCATGAAGACCAAAGGATTTGGTACAGGAGACAGCGAAGAGGAAAGTTTATATCGAATTACCTTTCAATGGTAATCTCGCCACGTTAAGGACCACTGAGCGACTGATCGCTGCTGCGCATAGGACCTACTATGCTGCTCAGGTCGTCATCATCAACAGAACCAGCAAGTTGCCAGTACCTCATCGGAAGGAAGCTGTGCCAATCGGCGCCAGTTCTCATTGGGTAAACCAATTTAGATGTAACGGCGGAGCCAATTACATTGTCAGGACAGACAGAGCATTGTCTTACCGGATGAAGGAACACGTACCGAAGTGGATCCTGCATGGGATAAACGAACAGCCTTTTCCTACCCAAGCCCTGTCGTTGCGTAAGCCGCTGGCATCCTCCATAGGTAAACGCCTATTGATTACTTGTCACCGGATCCGGCTCGATACCGCGTACAAAATTTTGCTGCGGCACTCTAATCCGCGATTTATTCGCTTCGCTGAGGCTATAGCGATTAGCCGATTGCAGCCTATGCTGTGTGTGCATAAACAGTTATTGGTCAGTCTCAAACTTCTGTGGACATAAAGACCGAATCATTTTCGCCTATCTTGATCCCTAAGTTTATTTCCTCTTTTTTGGTCACATCCACCATTTGCTATTGTTTCTCATCGGTTGTTGTTATTGGTATTGAAAAGACAATACGAAATGCTTGCATCTACCAAATGTCGTCTTCTTGCTGTACGTTTCAAATCAGGGTCAAGACACCTACACCCTGTCAATAACATACCGTCAAAAACAGTTGGCTAATGTGCAAAGAAATGGCGCATCGGCGAAACAGCATTCTTAAAGCTTTCACTGACCCGCGGCATAATCAGCC